CGTCGTCTGGTTGGTCATGGTCGTCTGGCTGGTCGTCGTCGTCTGGCTGGTCGTCGTCGTCGTCCTGCTTGTGGTTGTGGTGGTTGTCATCGTCTTCATCCCGGGTTTCCATGGTCATGGTTGTCTTGGTCATGGCTCACTTCACTCATCATGCTATTCCAGCTGCACGTGGCTACCTTGTCTCCGAGGCCAACCTCACCATCGACGAGGCTACCTTCCGCGAGCGGTTCCCTGATCTGGAGACGATTCGCAAGGACATGGACATTGTGGTGACGCACAGCAAGAACCGGGCGGACAAGATCTTTGTCTTTTTCCCCGAGTCGGACGCGTCGTCCAAGTCGGGCGCGGTTTCGGTCAAGCACATCCGCCCCTACCTCGACCAGATGGAGACAGAGAACATCCGGCGCTGCATCCTTGTCGTCAGCAAGGGCTTCACCTCGTTTGCCAAGCAGACTCTTGCAGAGATGTCCGCCTTCAAGGTCGAGCACTTTAACGACTCGGAGCTCCTTGTCAACATCACCAAGCACGTCCTCGTCCCCGAGCACGAAGTCCTGTCTGAGGAGGACAAGCAGGCCGTCCTCGACCGCTACCGCCTCAAGGAGTCGCAGCTGCCGCGCATGCTCTTCACCGACCCTGTCGCCCGCTTCTACGGCCTCCGCCGCGGCCAGGTCGTCAAGATCAAGCGCAAGTCCGAGACCGCAGGCCGCTACATCACCTACCGCTACGTCATCTAAGCGCTTAAAAGCCCCTGTAATGTCGCCCCGCCCAACCCAGCATGCACTCTTGTAACACCGCTGCAAGACTGCCCCACCCAATCCAATTCTGCAGACACCATCGCATCGCAGGTGGCGGAGGCCGTAGCAGCGGGCGAACGGAAGGGGAGGGAAGGGGGGGGGGGGGGGGAGGGAAGGGGGGGGGGGGGCAAGACTCGACTCACTACGACGACCATGTCGGACCATGACCGAGCAGAAGACGAGACGGCGGCTGAGGGGTTTAGGGCTGGGGAAGGAGCTGGGACAGAAGCTGGCGCTGGTGCTGCTGGCGCTGCTGGGACAGAAGCTGGCGCTGGTGCTGCTGGCGCTGCTGGGACGGAAGCTGGCGCTGGTGCTGCTGGCGCTGGCGCTGCTGGCACAGAAGCCTCTGACGGTGAGGCTATTGGGGCTGGCGTTGGGGCTGGGGCTGGGGGGGAGGCGACGTTGGCATCGCTCAATCCACAGACACCCGATCAGATGCGGACGCTGCGTCTGTCGCGGTTTGGTGGTGGTAGTGGCGGCGACTCGCCGGAGCCGAATGTGGAAGCGGTGGCAGTGCCCGAGTCGGAAGATGGTGGCGATTCCATGGTTGTGCCGCAGGCCAACGCTCCTATGGCGGCGACGCCAGTGACGCCCAAGACGCAAGTGTTTGATCCGGCATTGTCTTTGGCATCGTCAAGTCCATCGGCTTTTGTTGCGGGCTCATCGGGGCTCACGCCAGAGCAAGTGAGGGCAAGGAGGCTGGCAAGGTTTGGCGCGGGTGGAGGGAGCAGCGGGCCAAAGGTCAAAGTGCCGCGGCGCGGGAGCGGACAGGGGACGGGCGTAGAGCACTCGACACCGGCCAGCCGGCGCAACGACGGCGATGTCCAGGGCTCACCGTCGCCGTCGCGGCTCGGGTTGTCGCCGGCCGGGGCCAACGCGACGCCGCTAGAGGTGTGGAAGGCACGGGTGGTGAATAAGTGGCTGCATCCGTCACCACCAGTGTCCGAGGATGGTCCGGTCGACGTTGATGCAGCAGTGGCTCAGGCCACGCTTGGGCGTGGTCATCCCAAGGATCCGGAGACGCCGTGGGGAAAGCCGGCGTCCGGACGGACACCACTCCATTTTCTGGTGAGCGTGTACGGGCGGGCGCAGCGGATGGCGGCGTCGACGACGATTGCGGCGCATCCAGGCCGGCCCGAGTTTCTAGCCGAGGTCAAGAGCCTGTGCGTCTCGTACGTGTTGCTCCTCCTTGAGCACGCGGACAGCTTCCCGCAGTCGAGGGAGAGCAAGGCTTCTGGGCCGGCTGGTCTAGTTCCATTCCTTCTCGGCGTGAGTCCAGGCATGCCGCTCCCGCCGGGCCTACTGCCGGCGATGCTGGCCGAGATCGAGACTTGGGCGAGTGAGCGGGCAGCAGCGTTTGCAGCACCGCTGTTCGAGGCGCTGTGGGCAGGTGTGAGCAAGCTGCGGTTCGAAGACTCTGAAGCCGGACTGTACGTGCGCGCGCTGGGGGCGCTGGTGGAGAGCAAGACTCTGGCGCGTGTTCTGGCGGAGCATCCGCTCTTCCTCGGCAAGGGCACGGCGATCGAAACAAAAGCCGGCTCGCTGGTGGAGAGCAGCACGCTGCTCGGCCCGTTCTTCTCACTCTCACCGCTCGACTCGCGCTCGTTTGTTGCAGTCACGTTTGGACCGTCACCAGCGCAGTCACTCGGCCTGCTCACCACCCGGCGATCGGGTGAAGTGGGCGGGACGTGGCCGTCAAGCCGCGACGAGGTTGAACGAACGCGTGCGCTGGTCGCAGCGCGGCACGAGGCGCTTGTCGCGCAGCTGCACGAAGTGGTGGACAAGGTAGTGCGGGCGGGGCCTGAGGCACGCGAAGCCTTTCTCAGCTGGATCGGACTTGTCCTCTCTTCCAACACGGCGCGGTTGCACTCCCAGCGGGCATCACCGATGGCGACAGCGAGCGAGGGCTTCTTCTTCAATCTCGCATGCGTCATGGTTGCGCTGTGCAAGCCGTTTGTGAGCAAGGGTAAGGCCAAGTTTGGCCTCATCTATCCGCAGTACCTCCTGGTCACTGACCGGGTCGATGTAAGCAGTGACACCAAAATGGCGGCGTCGTCGCGCGAGACCGAAGCGTGGATTGACGTCCGCAACCGGACGGCACAGGAGCAGTTTGAGATTGTGAGGACGCGCCAAGCGAATGAGGCGGCGTTGCGAGCCGCGGCAGCGGGCGGCGGTGCGAGCAGTAGTGCCACCAGCGGTGCCAGCGGTGCCAGCGGCACGGCCGAAGCTCACGTGAGGGTGCCGACCAAGTTCAAGTTTGTCACCGAGATGTTCTTCCTCACGCTCCGCACGTTGTACTTTGGGCCTATGCAGACCGTGGTGCGGTACCGACAGGTTCGGTCGTCGACGCATCGGTTGATGAGCGAGATGCAGGCGATGAACGAGGGAGGGCAGCGGGCGTCGGACGCGATGGACCGTGTGGAGAGAATGATGGACGCGGCGATGGGACTGCGGCTCTCGCTGGAGACGCTTGTGCTCGACCGGCGGATTCTCAACGAGTTTATGCAGCTCTACGCGTTTACGGCGGCTTGGCTTCTCGAGCGGGCGGATCCGGATGGGGTGGGTGTGCCGCTTGCGGGCGTGCCCGAGGCGTTTGGCATGCTTCCGGAGCACATTGTGGACGATGTGGCGACGCTCTGGCACTTTGTGCTCCAGGTTGAGCCTGCGGCACTGGCTTCTGTCTCGCTCGATCTGTGCATCTCGTTCATGATGACGCTCATCGGCAATCCAGTGCTGGTCAAGAACCCATATCTGCGAGCCAAGTTTGTGTCGGTTATGGCCGAGACGCTAGCGCAGGAGCACAGCGTGGGCCTTGCCGAGTTTGAGAGCAATGCGGTTGCGCGCGAGTGGATGGCTATCATTTTGGTCGACTTTTACGTCGACATCGAAGTGACCGGCTCCCACACGCAGTTCTACGACAAGTTCTCGGTCCGGCACGACATTGCCACGATCGTGATGCGGATGTGGGAGTCTAGCCACTTTCGCGGCGCGCTCGGCGAGGTGCCAGCCAAGTACCCCGAGTCGTTTACCCGCTTTGTCAACATGCTCCTCAACGACGCGACCTTTACACTCGACGAGTCACTGACGCGGCTGGCGCAAATCCGCGAGCTTGAGGTGCAGCGCGAGGATGGCCAAGGATGGAGTGCGCTGAGCGGGGAGGGTAGGGCGGCAGCCGAGGCGCGCGAGGGCGAGCTCCGGTCGGCAGTACGGTCGTATATGGTGCTAGCCAACGAGAGTGTCAAGGTCCTTGCACTCCTTGCGCAAGACATCCATGCGCCGCTGGTGGCGCCTGCGCTCGCCGACCACCTTGCAACAGTGCTCAACTCGGTGATGGCCTCGCTTGTCGGCCCGCACTGCCTCGAGCTCAAGATCGCGCGGCCTGAGCAGGTCTCGTTTGATCCGCGAGCGCTGCTCTCGGACGTGGCGTCGGTGTACGCGGCGCTGGCGGGCGAGGAGGCGTTCCGGCGGGCAGTGGTCCGTGATGAGCGCTCGTTCTCGCTCTCTGTCTTTGACAAGATGCTCAAGGTCGGCTCGCGGAACTCGCTGGTGACGAGCGTACAGCTGGCGGTGCTCGCCGAGCTCCGGCAGCAGCTCGAGGCGTCGTCGGCCGAGTCGAGCGCGCTTGACGAGCTCCTGGACGACGTGCCGGACGAGTTCCTAGACCCGCTGATGGCAACGCTTATGCGCGATCCGGTTATTCTCCCGTCATCGCGGGTGAGCGTCGACCGGTCAACCATCACGCGGCACCTGCTCTCGGACGAGAGTGATCCGTTCAACCGGCAGCCGCTCACGCTCGACCAAGTGATCCCGGACGAGGCGCTGAAGGCGCGGATCGAAGCGTGGATCGCGGCACGAGTGAGTGCTGGGAAGGAAGAGGTTGGGTAGGGAAGGGCTGTATAAACAGTGTCAGGCCACCGGCGGGGCCGGGGGCGGGGTGTAGGTGGCGTCAAACAGGTGGCAGCCAAGATGGTCGTAGCCGAGGCCGCAGACGGCGTTGATCTCGCAGAGCGTCCGCTCGACCTCGTGGCATTTGCCTGGCGAGGGCGAGGAGCAGCCGACGTTAACAACGACGCCGCCCTGGAGGTCAACGAGCGGAATCATGTCGTTGGAGGGGACGACGTTTGTGACAGCGGCATTGATGGCGGCAGCCGAGACGCCAAACTTGAGGCGCGAGAGGACGATGCCTGGCGAGGAGAAGGCGACGGCCGGGAGGGCATGGCGGGCGCCGACGATTTTGGCCAGCGCACCGCCGAGCGAGTGGCCGGTGAGAAGGAAGGAGGCTGAGGGATGGGCGGTGCGGTAGGAGGTGAGGTAGGCTTCGAGCGAACGGTAGTAGTCGCGCTTCGAGGCGACAACGGACGAGGGAAAGAGCTCGTGGATGAGCGAGCCGGTGTAGACGAGGAGGGCGGTGGCGTCGCGCGGCCAGGCAGTGAGCGGGACGAGGAAGGAGATGCCCTGAATGGCGACGACGGACGAGTAGAGCGAGATGTCCTGGATGAGGTCGATGAAGCGGTGCGGGATGGTGCCGCGGGCGGCGAGGACGTGCAAGTCGCGCGAGGGCGAGTGGAGGTGGACAAAGCCGACCCAGGCGTCGGGCGCCGACGCGCCAAGCTCGGTCCAGTCCGAGCTTGGTAGGACGGCGGCGAGGAGGTCTGAGCGCGACAAGTTCCAGCACGAGCCATAGCCTACAGTGGCGATGTCTGCAAGGAGCGCGGTCTCGACAAGGTCGAGGCCATCGTTGCGAATGTGGCAGCCAGCGTAGCCGGGGCCGGAAGCGGCGGTTGCGCGGGAAGCGAGATGATCGAGGTAGTCCTGCGGTGGTGGCGAGAAGGCGAGGAGCTCAAACTTGGAGTGGTCCGGGGCAAGGAAGCAGGTGTCGACGACGGCGGCCTCTTGGATGTGGGTGCCGACGATGAGCAAGCCGAGGAGAACGAGGCCGCCGTACATGAGGGTGCGGTACCAGAACATAGAGAAGATTATGTGACGGCGCTCGGGAATGGCCTGTCGCAGTTGGTCTTTGGACTTGACGGCGATAGTGAGATTGGCAAAAGCGACGACGCCGCAGCCTGCGGCGGTGAGCGCGGTAAGGTACGGCGAGGCGTGCGCAATGGAGGTGAGTGCGACGGTGACGGCCGAGGCGGCGGCGGCGGCGGCAACCGGGAGCGAAGCCAGGGGGTAGACAAGGGCGCGGCGCGGGAGCGAGCAGATCTCAAAGGCGAGCTTGAGGACGAGGTAGGCGATGACGAGCGCGGCAGTCGAGGCAGTGGTGACCACAAGGATGCAGGAGAGCGAGTGGAGCGGCGACTCTGCGCCAGCAAGGCGGAGGCCAATAGCGGCCGAGCCGAAGACGTGGATGGCCTTGAACCGGGCAGTGGCGCGCATCTCCCAGCCGTGGCACTCACGGGCGGCCGACGAGTGGCCAAACCACTCGCGCTTGTGGGCAAAGAAGCAGGCGGCGATGTGGGCGACCTGGAGGGCGAAGAGGGCGACGACGGCGTAGATGAGGCCGGCGATCTGTGTCGGCCAGGCATCGACGGCGGCGAGGGCTGGAGCAATGAGAGTGGGGAGGGCAGCCATGGCAGCAACGATGACGGCAAGGACAAGCGGCGGGGAAGAGCCAGAGCAGCCGCCAGCGATCTCAACTTGCGGCGGGCGTAAGGATGCTCGTACGGCGAGAAGGAGTCGAGAGCGAGCGAGACGACGTTGGAGACGACACGAGTGGCCGGGAAGGGAAAGAGGAGGACGAGGAGGAGATTAGCAGCTACAGTGACCGAGTCATGCGCAATGGCGGCCATGGAGAGCGAGGGCGATTTGTCGAGGAGAGGAAGGACCGAGACAAAAAACAGTTGCAAGAAAATATTAAGAGAGAGCGCAGCTGCAAGAGCCCAGACCGGAATGAAAAAATACGTGTATGCAAGTCGGATGACGATGTGTGCCGTGGGCTCGGGGAGGCCTTCACGACGAGTGCCTCCCGGTGACGTCAGGTCGGACATGACCTTGGGCGACTTTGGTCCGCCGAGTGCCACCGTGAGCGAAGGGAATGCCTTTCGTGCTTGGAGCCGGGGTGACGCCATGATGAATGGCTGTAGTGGTGATGGTGGCCGTAGTGGTGGTGGTGGTGGTGGTGGTTGGTGGTGGTGAGGTGAGGTGCGGTGCGGTGAGCAGGTGATGTGGCGGAACTCAAGCTCCACGGCTGTCATGATGAGTTTGAGGGATGATTGGTGCGTCGGATGTGGCTAGGAGGAAGGGGAGAGGGGGGGAGGGGGGGGGGGGAGGTTATCCACCTTGTTGTTG